CTGGGCTGATGGCTCAGAGCCTGGAGCCTGTTTCTGATTCTGTGTCTTCCTCTCTCTCTGCCCCTCCCCCGTTCATGCTCTGTCTCTCTCTGTCCCAAAAATAAATAAACGTTGAAAAAAAAATTAAAAAAAAAATAATAAGTAAACGTTAAAAAAAATTTTTTTTTAATTTAAAAAAAAAGAACAAGCGCTCTGGAGCCTGGCTTGCTCTCTTGACTCTGCCCTTATTAGTCACATGACTTAACCTCTCCGTGCCTCGGTTTTCTCATCTTTAAAGTGGGGGTGACGACAGTACCTATCTCACTGGATTGATTTTAGGATTCAATGACTTGAGGTATGTACGATGATTACAATAGTGATGCTTAGAATACAGTAAATGATAGACAGATGAGGAAATTGAGGGTCACTGAGGCTGAGAGTCCAAGTTCTTGCAACTAAATGGTGGCGGGGCAGGGACTAGAATGCAGGTTTATCCCACTGGTTTAATACTGCTTCAAACCGCTAATAAACAGGGTCTCTGTCTCGTAGCGGGCGTCACTCTGCCCACTGACCAGGATGTTATTGCCATTCTGTTGTTAAATCACCGGGATGACTTCAGGAAACCTGTCCGGAACTGTCTCCTGCTCTGCAAAAGGGAGGAGCTGGAGATATGCCTGAAACCCCTCTCAGGAGCAATCCCAGCAGAAGACCCCATAGCCAGGTGGGCGGGGGAGCCATGTAGGCCGCCACAGAAGGGCACCTTCACGTCAGTGCCAAACACAGAGCCTTGAGATTCCCCACAGAGCAACTGCCCCACTCCTGACAGAGAAGCCCGAGCCACCCCAGGCCTCTGGGGGAGAACCCTCACAGCTACTCCCTCAGACGACGTAGGAGGCAGGCCCAGTACCCGCCATGCCTCATGCTCCCTGACACACGCAATCCTGACTGCACTGCCCTCCTCACGGCTGCCTCCTGGACTATTCACCAGGCTGTGCGAGGGGAAGGCCTCTCCCAGACAGCGTCAGCGGTCTCTGCCTCGGGAGACTAGCCTCCCTGCACATAACAGGAACTTGCCTTTGCTTCTCCAAGTCTGCACAGTAAAACAGGCCCGTTAACACAACAGGACTGCAGAGGCGAGCGAGATCAGGCGCCACCGACCCACTCCCCAGGCAGACATCCTGCTGGACCCTTGAAAAGGTCCTAAGCACCGCAGATGGTCGACTAGAACAGTCCAGCCTTCTGAACACTGGTGGGTCCAAACTGCTGTTGATGGATTTTTTTCCCCTCTCAGACTGCTGGCTTCCACTTGAATGTAGAAGGATGGAAGGATGGTTTATACTGTCTCAATTTGAGCATCTAAAACTGAAAACTGGGGCACCTAGGTGACCTAGTCGGTTTAGCATCTGTCTTTGGCGCAGGTCATGATCTCACGGTTCATGAGTTCGAGCCCCACATCAGGCTCTGTGCTGACAGCTCAGAGCCTGGAGCCTGCTTCAGATTCTATCTCCATCTCTCTGCCCCTCCCCTGCTTCCACAATCTCTCTCTCTCTCTCTCTCTCTCTCTTTCTCTCTCTCTCAAATATAAAATAAAGCATAAAAAATTTTTTAAACCAAAAACCACTTTTGTGGTATCCAAACCCATATCTTCAGAGTTGGAGCTCCTCGAAATTCTAAACACGTTTTTAAACCACCAAAGGAGGGCAAAGGAGACAGCGGAGAGCAAAGCAGGGTGGTCACCACTTTGGGACTCTCCCCCCAAATAGTTTCAGCCCCAGTTAAAAGAAAGGCTGTCCTGAGCCAGGAAGGGGCTGCTCTCCTCATGGGCATCTCTCTGAAGCACCCGTGTTAGAAGCAGTGCGACGCTCACAGACCAGGCAGAAGTTCCTAAAGTCATGCCACACATCTCTGCTCAAGGAGCACTTGGCTCGGCCTTTCATTATCCACAAACACCAAGGTTCTTCATAAGAGCTTTCAATGTAAGTCTCCTCCTGTGGGCTTGGCCCCTCACCCTGACGGGGCAGCATGTATACA